ACCTTCTGCAAATATCAGTCATTCTTCTCTGATTTCATTGTTCATGCATTTTCACACCGATTACGTCTCATTCCTGTTCTTTCCTTATCGATCTGCCAAAATACATTCTATGTCGGACCATCACCATGTACTATTTATGTGAATATAAGTAGACCACACCACAAGGATACTCGACGACTTATTAACTGACCCAATCAAAGTCTGGTCTCAAGATATGCTACTTCCTCAGTATCATAAGCTAAGGGAAAAAATATTTTCAGAAGGGTTGGAGATAATGGATTAATGAAAGGTAATATATAATGTATATATATATAATATCACCGGGGCCCCTCACTTTTTAGGTTCGTAGGATCGAATGATCAATCGACGTTATCCACCAGTGACCATGGCATTATGTATTCATTTGTTCTTAGCTTTTTGCGTTCTTGCTGAACCATCTTATTTTTCCGGTCCAGTTTGAAGAAGAAGCGAGGTTCATGTACCCAAATTATTTCTCCGTATTCCCTAAATCACAATTGAATCATATTTTAGTCTTTGGTAGATAAATACGAATAAACCTGATTTTCCAAACTTTACAGCTCAGAGTGAACAGCAGAAATATGGTCTAGTTTGGTATCAGTACTACTGTAATAATAGACCTAATCCCAAAATCGTAAATGTGTTATGATGTGACTACCTTATCCATAAGATCTTCCGTAGAAGTCACAGTGTCTACATTGACTCACACTATCATAACGATCAGAACTATGACATCTAAAATTTCTTGGGAATTGAGAGGAGAAATAGTGCCCTGCACCAGGTATACTCTGTACTTGAATGAGTGCAAAGTCATCACAACAAACATAAACAGACAGAACTTACTGCGCACACAGCCACATCTAAAGTCCGAAACTTATGTCGACTCCTTGCAAAACGCATAAGATCACAACATTCACTCTCTACTGCACGATGGCGCGACGTATTATGACCAAACCGTCATATGCGAACTGCTAAAAGAATGGTTTTCCAAAAACGGGAATACACCTAATGCCCCAGATGTTAACATAAAATGCATAAGCAAAAACCATATTAGCATCATAAACTTTGTTATTAGGAGTACACATACCGCCATCAAAACCCTTAAGCCGAATGCGAGCTGTGTTGTGCAATGTAGTGTCTTCGGTCCATTGCTCTTTATAATCTATATCAACAATATATGCAAGTGCTTTACCACAGGTAAGACCTACCTCTACGCTGATGACTTAAAAGTTGTCTATAAAGCTGACAGTGGCGATGTACATAGTATTATGCAAACTAACCAACATGAACTCAACAAAGTAGACGACAGGCGCAAACGCTGGGGGTTAGAGCTCAACACACAGAAATGCGGTTGGTTATGCATTGGAGACGCGTCACTTAAAATAAAGCTAGCACTTAACAAAAACCCACTGCTTAGACTGACATCAGTAACTGCCCTTGGGGTACATTACTCAGACAGTCCTAACTTCTCAGAACATATCTCAACTAAAGCATCTCAAATGCGGAGATTGCTTGGCTTCATTCTTCGTAATTTCTTTCAAAACGAAACTAAAATCATCCTGCATAAAGCCTGCATAAGACTCATCGTCAAATACGGCTCGTTCTTATTTTCCAACCTACGCCTATCCGTTATACCCAAGGTGAAAGGAATACAGCGAGACTTCACTCGCAAAATACTTAAGAACGACCAACTCACTGACTACAGATCCAGATGCCATATCCTAGGACTAGAACCCCTCTGGAAAAGAAGGCTTAGGTCTAACTTAGTTCTTTATTTCGAACTCCTTAAAAATCTTATATATTCCACATGCAATATTGTTCTCTACCTAGACTCACGTGGATACAACCTTCGAGACAAAGTATCCACAGTAAAAATTGAAAAATACAGATCAAAAACTCGGAAAAACTTCTTCCTTATCAGGTAATCATTAATATGGAACAGTCTTCCTTCTGAACTACGCATGACAGACAAATTACATACGGTTGTAAGACTTATCGATCAAGCCCTCACCTGCACAGATCTGGCGCAAACGAACACATCCACATCCCATACAGACATCACAGACTCTCTATTTACATAGAATAAATTGCCTTATATCCATAATTTGTTGTTTTATTAGATACTTTCCTCTCACTAATTTTTTAAAATTGAAGTAGACAGGCAACTCATTGGACCTATCAATACTCGATCGTCAAACGACACTTACAAATACCTTAGAAAGTCAAAAGATAAGCACAGCCGACTGCCTACCACCAGTGGTCGTACATCTATAGAACCTGTTACCAATCAACTGGTTAGGATAGGACAAAAGAACATCAGTACGAATTTAGTGTGAGTTCCTTCTTGTCTATTCTTTATCAGCTTTTCACTCTTCTGTACACTATATTGCCTTGCCATTAATATTATTTCACCACTCGTTATTTTACCTTATCTGTAACTAATATATAAATCTACACTTTTCCGCCTACTTTGGTAAGAAACTATCCTACATCATACCCTTCTTAATGCTTATACTCTGATTGGCAACCTATACTTCACACTATAGTCAATTAAAGCATTGCATCGAAGCCTTACCCACAGTCCATAATTTGTAACTGTCTGATAAGCTTGTAAAATGGTACTTATAGAAATAGTGTTTTCCAACAGGATGTGAAAAACAAAGCATTGTGTGAGGTATGATATATATCCATAAAATAAGCGTAAATGAGCCTAAAATCACAAAAGGAGGGAGGATGGAGTTACTGACCAGCAAGCATTGATGGTGAGGGCGATGACTTCAATCCACCCGTGTTTGTGGGGCAGAACATTTTGTTTGTGTCAGGCTATTTATGGTTGGGAACAAGTCAATCAATCTATGATATCGAGGTTGTTCACCTACACTCACCATTCAGACTCATGTTTCTAATTTTTTACGCCGGATTAACTATTCTACTAAGACAACCTATAACATGCTAACTCCGACTTTTACATGAAAATTTATCGTACCTCCATCTGTTCCATTAATAAATGTTAAGCATTGGTTATCGTTCATATCCAAATGCCTTGCTGCCCCTAGATTTCTTTTCAGAATCTTGCTGTCGGGGTGAAGCTATGTAACTTCTGACATCTGGAACAAGCTCGACGAACCCACTATCCCATGGTAATAGTTCGAACCAGGCGCTCCACAAGTCTACTTTATAACAACCATAAACTTAAAAAGCTGCATTACATAAATACTTCGCACGACCGAAACCCTAATACACTTTCTGTCGAGATTGGATCTAGTATGTCGCTGACGTGATGACACTTTGGAAAAAATCCTGATGAAAACACATTAATCCGAACGAATGAACTGCTATCAAATTTTATAGAATATAATTACTAATCAACCCTGCTTGGGATGTATACTGTGAACCAGTATATATTTTAAATTGTAGATCATGCCTGTAAAAATGGCGTGTACCTGCTGTTGCAGAAATATATTATTACTATTATTATCTGAATTTATAGGCAGTAATTTACTGTTGCCCTACCTGCATGATCGAGCATTGCCATTTTGATTAACTGTTCCGCTATCACCATTGATGATCTGCTCTTTGTGTTACATGTTGAATGTAACTCTCAGTAATTATACTCCCAGTTTCAAAGATCGTGTGGTCCGGAACCGATAACACTGCAGAACCACACAGCTTTTGAATTACATGGGTAGCTGTTTCCTCTTCCTTGTATGGGTAAGAGTACTTTTTCAAAGTGGAACTTTCGACCAGTATCATACCAGATCTATGTTAACTATGAAGGACGCATTTGTGTCTAATTGTGTTAATGTTATTCACACCATTCACACATCTGTAAACCTGTTACCTGCAACCGAACAAACGTGATTCACTTTACTAGTGTTACTTTAAATAAGCCTACTTACCACGACATGTAAACTAACCTGAAGCCCATATAGATCAAAGTACATGCCTAATTTCCGCAGTATTTTAACATTGTTGGCCATTGAATTGAGTGATCGTGATCTACTCGAGTATAATGGGAATGGTGTGACCTCCCAGCCTACGCCCAAGTTATATCTTTCTCATAGTTTCTACCTAACCTGGATTAAGCCACCTGATAACCAGATGAATTGTTTGCCGTATTAACTGGATAGAATAGATAATCCCTTTAGGCAACACCATATCTTAACGTTAGTTTATCACGAAAGTATGAATGAGAAAAACGACCTCATTCGCCTGTTCATGGCATGCGATCGCCTGATGGGATTGACCCACGTTGATCATCCTCGACCTTAACGATGTCTAATAGACTTTCTAATGATTAGCAACCTGCCGTTTAACATAGAAACGGATTATTTTTCTAGGGCTCAGAGATGTTGCACTGAACTAATAGTGTCACTAGCTCAAAGCATCACCGAAGACTTGATAGTGCTTAAAAGTTCATTAATGCAAAACATGTTGGATTAATTTGCACGCTTATTTCGACTGAATCTTATGAAGTTACTAATTCAAATGAACAGGGTTTCGAAATTCATTGAACGTTTTGGTTTTAAATGTCACTATTACAAGAAGCAGGTGACTTATGCTTAAATTTCGTCATTAGTAAATGTTCTTAGGTTCTGGGCACAGGACAATTCGGATTTTACAGAATTAATAATCATTACCCATTACATATTCCAGCTAAGAAATGCATGAAAGTGAGACTAGATATGTGAGTAAATAATGCAACTTTCCTCAGGGTCTTGTTCTATAAAAGTAGATGGTTAGTTGACATAAGTTGAAGTGGTTACATTCTCATTCAACCGTTATTTCGCCATTTTGTGACCGACCTCCTTAGCATTTATGAAGTTATAAAGATCTTGATGTTACATCTATCTTTAATTTTGATATTGAAAATTATTCGCGTCATAGTAATTGGTATAAAGTTTTACTGCGTCAAAAAGCATGCATATGGCGCCCCCACGTAGGTTTGCTAGCAGCGCCAACTTCTGAGGCTATAGCTCGATATGTTGGAGGAAGCTTATTCTTGTACAGTTGACGATATCCTAAAGCACTATAATACGAACACTGAAACTGGCCTAACTAAAAGGCAGATTGAATCCTCTTTGAAGGAGTATGGGTACAATGGTTTGTCCTTCTTGAACATAGACATTCCTTTAGAGTTACCACCGGAAGAAAACAAGCCTCTTTGGAAATTGGTACTTGAACAGTTCGACGACCTCTTGGTCAAAATTCTTTTACTGGCAGCTGTTATCTCATTCGTAATCCATCTCAATGTATTTTTACAGTTTTACTTTAGGTCTTGGCGTGGTTTGAAGATAGCGAAGATGCAACTACTGCGTTCGTCGAGCCAGTTGTTATAATGCTTATATTAATCGTGAATGCAATTGTTGGTGTTTGGCAGGTAGGCCGTCTCAAATTAAGTTTTATAAATTAAGGAACGTAATGCTGAGTCAGCCATAGAAGCCTTAAAAGAGTATGAGTCAGATACTGCAAAAGTTATTCGTCAAGGTTATCAAGGTGTTCAGAGTGTGAAAGCCCGTGAACTTGTGCCTGGAGACATTGTGGAAGTTGCTGGTATGTTATGCTTGTGTTTTGGCTGTTTTTTTCCGAGTACTATCATACGGCACAACTGACTTATATTCAACGGCGTGAATGTTTATCAATAATGAAATTACCCACTTGTTTTACTGTCAAAACCGAAGACGGGTAGTTGGAATCCTTGGGTTGACCTACACTCAAACATTGTGCAGTAATGACTGCTTTGACAAATAACTTTTTCGATGTTTGAAAAACATCTGATAATCGTGTCAATTCGCTAACCCGTTATCTGATCGCCACTAATTATTTTCATTGTACAAAATTAGTGGAATCTTTGCCGATGCAGTGTTTAGCTGTAGAACGACTTCACTCGAGAATTGCTTCCATAACTCTACAAACTTTATGTGTAATCCTCATTGTACGTACGCATTTAATTACATTGGCGACGGTTCTGTAATACACAAAGTTAGTGTGAATAATGCTTTAAAAATTTCTTTGGCCATGTTCTCTGTTGTACCACAGTAGAATGAACAAATGGGTTTATGTACCAATGCTTTTGTTAGTCTGCAAAGTGCTTTTGATACGGACTTACATGTTGGATTACTCCCGAAGAGTCTTATTTTGCTTGTTGCAAACACGGTTAAATCAGCATACTGTCGGAATGATTTTATTCTTCGCTTAGTAGATCATAGATACCTTAACATTTTGTGTGAACTGAGGTATATATATATGTTTAATGGACTATTACTGGTCAGTTATTACCAGGGTGTTTTGTTGATTTGCATATTTAGTTGGAGACCGGGTTCCAGCGGACATTAGAATCGTTAAAATCTTATCGACAACACTTCTTATTGATCAGTCTATCTTAACTGGCGAGTCAGTATCCGTTTCAAAGCACAGTGATCCTATATCCCAGGCTCGAGCTGTCAATCAAGACAAAAAGAATATGCTGTTCAGCGGTACAAACGTAGCCTCTGGAAAATGTGTTGGGATAGTAGTCGGAACCGGACTTTCAACAGAAATAGGCAAAATTCGTGATCAAATCATGCATACGGAACAAGATAAGACTCCTCTCGGGCAGAAAATAGATGAATTTGGAACACAGTTATCAAAGGTATATAACTAATTTATGCTTGTTTTTGCGTTCCATGACGTTTTCACTGCAAAATTTTGTTAAATTATTTTCAGTTTTTGATAAAACAATCTTTTTTCATTGTCGTAGGTCATAACATTCATATGTATTGCAGTATGGTGCATTAACATCGGCCATTTTAACGACCCGGTGCATGGGGGTTCTTGGCTCAGAGGTGCTGTTTATTATTTTAAAATTGCGGTCGCGCTTGCTGTAGCAGCAATTCCAGAAGGTTTACCAGCTGTTATCACAACGTGTCTAGCTTTGGGTACCCGTCGAATGGCTCGCAAGAATGCTATCGTCCGGTCATTGCCAAGTGTCGAAACTCTTGGGTGTACAACAGTGATTTGTTCTGACAAAACCGGTACCCTTACAACTAACCAAATGACTGTTTGCCGAATGTTCACTTTCGGTAACGAGAGTCGGATTGGTGATGCTTTGCAACTGAAATTCGACGAGTTTGAAATTACAGGTTCTAAATATGCTCCAGAAGGAAATGTGTAGGTTTCAGCTTAGTTTTCGCGTTTTATTTGAGTGATATTTTCTGATCGTCTACTTATACAATCTTGGTAAATAGAGTGTAATGTTCATGACAAACAAAACTAATCAACTTTTCTAAGGCCTCTCATAGTGCTTTCCTGGATAACTAAGGCTTCTGAATTGATTATTGAGGTTCTTTTCAGCATAAATACTATACTTGCAAATACGTTGAGTCAACCACAAATATCAGCGTTAGTTCGAAGATAAATCGAAAACCCATTAGCGATCGATAAAGTTGAAACATAAGGTGTTTATAATGTTCAACACTAAAAACAAACCAGATAAACTGAAAATAATTGAACTATTTGTGCTGTTAATGTGTTGTTCGAAAATATGGCATCTCTAGCTGATGTAGACGTTACGTTAAATCAGTTTCCCTTACTTTTACCTTAATACATGTAGCTATCCTCAATCAGCGAATTAATATGCAAGTTACTACTTTTGTGTCTGATCATAAGAATATCACTGTTCTCTCAATTGATATTTATTCTAGTGTTATTTGCAAAGCAATCGCCTTAATAAAACCTTTCGTACTTTCAGGCATCATCAAGGACGAAAAGTAGACTGTTCTGAATATCCTTGTCTTGTGGAACTTGCTCAAATATGTTCTTTGTGTAATGACTCGTCTGTGGAATACAATGAATCTCGACATGCATATGAAAAAGTGGGCGAAGCGACTGAGACTGCATTGATTTGCTTGGTCGAGAAAATGAATGTCACAAAAGTCTCTAAATCAAATCTTACTAATCATCAGCTTGCAATGGTTTGTAATCGTGATATCCAGGTAGTTAACATTCTTAATTATGTTTTACCGAATTTCTGTGATTTATTTCGGTATTTTCTTCCTATTGTAGAAAATGTTTGAAAGAAAATTCACTCTTGAGTTTTCTCGGGATAGGAAGTCAATGTCTACCTATGTCATCCCTCAAAGTCAAATTTCCGGCTCCAAAGAAAAACTCTTTGTTAAGGTAATCTTATTTTGTCTGGGTTTATGCTCTTTCAGTCAAACGTTTCTTCAATCTTAGTAAATTAGATGGGTTTATAAGAAATTGCTACAGAAAGTAGATTGACGTTTAATCATATATCTTACTGGTTGATTGTATAAAAAAGTGATATTGGTGGAAATTTAGCGCTTTTAACAAAGAAGCGAAGTAAATATTATCTCAGTACTCTTAAATGTATGTTTAATATGTGTTTCAATTAAGACCATCTCGTCCAGTAACAATCAGCAAACCTGGGTTATTTTGTTCGCCTTTACTCAAAATAGCTTTTACAATGTGTTTTAGGTATATAAATTTATCAAAATATTTTAAGTAATTGTATGAAATCATTTTCTTTTGTCTTACTACGTGCATGTTCATAAGGGCGCCCCGGAGTCCATATTGGATAGATGCACTTATGTACGCACTGCAGGCGGAAAATTGTTGTTAACGTCTGAGCTTAAAGGCGAAGTACTTCGAAAAATAGCTACCTACGCCACTGGACGTGAAACTCTTCGTTGTTTGGCTTTAGCTACAAGAGATGAACCACCTTCTCACTTTGATTTAAAAGATCCAAAGAATTTCAAGGATTATGAGGTAAGTTATATTTGTTATTTTCTCGCGTTTAGATCCTCACATAGTGATCCTGTTTCTATGTTGACCATTACTAGTTGTATAATACTTGGTGCAAGGAGATTTAAGGTCAAATAACATTTACGTGATGTGTTTTTAGTTCCCTCTGTACGCAGTCTGGTTAATGTTTAAAAACAGTTACATGATAATACGTTTCATTCAGGTGTATAACACATTACATTCAAACTAAATTAAGGAATAAGCAGAAATGATCGGTTGTTTTCCATTTGTTCTGAGATTTTATATGTGTTATGCTTGACACTAAATCGATTCCGCGGTAACGAACGAAAGCCAATGACACAATGACACGATAAGCTATTCTAATCGGTTGTCCCAGGCCCCGCTAACTAGATGAAGAAGTCCAAGGCAAGTAGGGGAACATATATGTATTCCGTAAGCAGCCGAGTACAAGCAATCGAATAAGGGAAAAAGTCAAGCGCATTTATACAACAACAATTTGTCCTTGAGCATCATTGGTAAATAGCACACACAAAGAAACAATGGACCAATAGCGTTTAAGATAGTTTACAGGTGGGAAATATGACGTGAAGGTAAAAAGAGCGCTTTTGGCGCGAAACCAGCTAAATTCAAATTTTCAAAATAAAACTACAAGATTAAGCCATTTACCAAGTAAGTTCTGGGGATTTGACATCCCCAACAATATGGTACAAAAGTATGTTATTATATTCCTGTTTACCGAAAAACGTTTACAATAAAATTTTCAGTTGTTTCCAAGTAGACAGTATACCTAACTGTTGTGCTTTACGCATTTGGGCCTTTTTTGATTGAGCATTTTCTACCAACTCATTATCACTCCATCGCATCACTAATTACTTCTAATGGTTTTCATTTTCAGACTGAACTAACTCTTGTGGGTGTTGTTGGTATGGTGGACCCGCCACGTTGTGAGGTTGCCAGCAGTATCCAAGCTTGTAAAAAGGCTGGAATCCGTGTTATTGTTATTACAGGTGATAATAAAGCAACTGCGGAAGCTATTTGCCGTCGTATAGGGTTGTTTGAAGATAAAGAAGATACTAGTGGAAAGTCCTTCACGGGGAGAGAATTCGATGACCTCAGTTTAGAAAAAAAGAAGGATGCTGTACGTAACGGAAAGTTGTTTGCTCGAGTTGAACCCGCCCATAAAAGTCTAATCGTACAATTCCTACAGCAGGATGGTGAAATATCTGCAATGGTAAGTGTTCGTGCTTTTTTCCTCTCTACATTATATATATATATATATATATATATATATATATATATATATATATATCGCTGATGCTATCAAGTAAATATCGTTCCATGTGAAATTCGTATCTTATCACACCGTTTTTGTGACAAGTAAAAACGCCTCACGTTTTGGTTTCGCATAATGTAATTCATTCTAGGTGGTAAAACATGTAGTCAGTCAAATTACAAACTTGAGATGTGACTTATAGTACAGCTAATTAACCGACTAGCTGGATGACACACCTCTTCGAACGAATTTATTGTGGTTACTGGCTAGTTATAAGAGCCCAGCTCTGGTGTATTTCGGCTAAATTGCTATCGCCTATTATCTTGATAAGTGAGTCGAAATGATGTAGCAATGATAATAATAATAACTAAGCGTCGAAAATATGGATGGAAAAGACAAAGAAACTGCCTTCATAAAGATATATTTCACAGCCATAAAATAATACAGAGCGGATTGTTGCATCGTATATTCACTATGAAAAATAGATATCTTGTCTACGCTACATGTGTTAGAAAATGCCAGGCGAACTTTCTGAATACGTCCTAAGATTTTCTCGCGTACTTCTATTTCTTATTGCATCTTGAGTTTTAGGATCTAATTAATCGAAAATATGCCAACGTTTATGCTTAGATGTTATACATTTGAGATGCGTTTTTTCTTTAATGTGCTGCATATGCAACTTATTTCGTCATCCTCTTGCCGTGGTAATTTCATATGTACTCAGTATATTTTTTGTATTTTAAAGTAACTTTCAGATTTTACTCATCATTGTTTCTGTTTCAAATATTTTGACGTCAAGTGTCAATTTGTAGATTGTTTGTAATTCTTCCTAGCCTACGGGTATTCCGATCTTACATAGGTCAGCTTTTCTTACTCCGCCACAAAATAAACACATAAATATCTCTTAATTATTTTGTCATATTGAAGCGACAGCACTTATTACTAATCCCAATCGCTCAACCCTAATCAACTTAGTCATGTTCATTTATTTGATTTTCAAGTTTCTGTCGCAAATAACTCACTTGGGGTATCTCGTCAAAATGACCTTCGTAGTTGGCAATCATTGTTTCAGTTTCGACACTTGCAAATTGTAAACATTTCAGTGTTTTATATTTTATACAGTTATAATCCAGTGTAGACAACTGGATGAAGCAACTATTGAATAAAAGTGTATCTCTCGACCTCGTTTGTAATTTTAGAATAAATCGATGACTGTCTATTGCGTAATTTCCGTTCGATACTGTATTACTGTCTCTAAATGCTAAAGTTCTCTTGCTCTTTTAATGTCCATAGACTGGGGATGGTGTTAATGACGCCCCAGCACTAAAGAAGGCGGAAATCGGAATTGCTATGGGAAGTGGTACTGCCGTTGCCAAATCTGCTTCTGATATGGTGCTAGCTGATGATAATTTTAGCACAATTGTTGCGGCCGTTGAAGAAGGCCGAGCTATATATGATAACATGAAACAGTTCATCCGTTACCTTATTTCGTCCAACATCGGCGAAGGTAAGTTCATTTATTTGCCGCCAGATGGTATAGTAATTAATTGGAGTTCATAAGTGAAATTTTCTCAGTACTTTCGCTTGAGAAAATTTAACTAAGAATATTTAGAAGTCTTCAAACTAGTATTCATAAAACTGTTTATATGAACCTCAATCAGCTTTCTGCCCTAAAGGTATTAGGTTTAGGATAGTGTTATAATTCCTAAAATTTTCCATTTCAGCTTCATTTTCCTTTTGTTGAAAAGCTGCTGTTCATAATCAAGTTATCAGAGCACAAATGTCTTACTTCAGGTTCACTTAATCTTTATCAATTACTTCAATGGTTACAGACTTCAAAATCCGTTTATCTTAGGCTTTGCAACCGTTTAAAACAAAATACTGTCTTTAGTAGACCTTGTGCAACTTTCAGTTTTGTTTGTCAAAAATGTGCTGAGTTTCATGAAAAATTCTTGTTTCTACAGTGTTTTTGATAAATACAACCAAGGGAATGTTTCGTTTGTATTCACAAAGTTTATACTATTGATTTTCACGCCGTGCGTAATACAGTAATATTTTCTAAAATTAATTTTCCACGTGTTCAATTCAAGAAACATTGACCTATATCACCAATTAAATACTCAGTACAAATTGAATCGTAACCCAAATGTCTATAAGGTGACATATTTCTGCTTTCCAACCCACGTAGCATATCTTGTCATAAACGAATATCAATAATTTGTTTTTGGATTTCACTTTCCTAATATCTGTCCATATCCAATACGATAAGCAGTGCAATTTTTCATATTTTAAACGAACCACAAACTTTTAATGGTAAACTATGTTTTTGCTTATTTTTCTTCATTATATCCTCTTAGTTGTTTGCATTTTCTTGACTGCTGCTCTCGGTATGCCTGAGGCTTTGATTCCTGTACAATTACTCTGGGTTAACTTAGTCACTGATGGTCTACCTGCTACAGCTTTAGGATTTAATCCTCCTGATGTTGATATAATGACTAAACCACCACGCAAAAGCAAAGAACCATTAATTTCCGGTTGGTTATTCCTTCGATACATGTTGATAGGCATCTATGTTGGGTGTGCAACCGTTGGAGCAGCAGCCTGGTGGTTCATGGTCTATGAGGGGGGTCCGAAAGTGAACTATTATCAGCTGGTATGTACATTTCCATTGAAAATGCGTTTTATTATTTTTATGCAATTTATACATCCCTAATTCTAAACAACGGACACTTTTTTACACCTATCACTTTCATTAATGCTTTCGTCGTCCTACTGACAGGCTGTACTTAGTATCGCTATATAACTGTAAGTTTACTACTATTTGACCACACATGCCTTAGAAATATTGCTCGCATCTGCTGGGATAACCGGGTAAGTAATAGTGAGGTTAGACGCAGGGTATTAGGGAACGATGGTAAATCAGTTGATGAAGTGATGAATCTTCATCGACTGAGATGGTTGGGCCACGTGTTACGTATGCCTGAACACCGATTAACACAACGCGCAATGCTGGCTAGTATTGGGGATGGTTGGAAGAGAGTTAGGGGCGGCCAAACCAAAACGTGGCATCAGTGTTTGAAGTCACTAACTTCTAGTCTGAGCCATGTTGGTAGATGCAGACTACCTGGTTGGGGTCCGCGCGACTATCGTAACCAATGGTTGGAGACTCTAGGTGACATGACTCAGAATCGATCACAATGGCGTAGGTGTATACACTCTTTATCTTCCCTTAAACCTTGAGATTAAAATTGCTTCATAACTTTCTTCCTTCCTGTACTATATCCTTATATACAACCTATAATTTATATACTACCATCAACACTAAATTAACTACTATGAATCCGGTGTTCGTCTTGTTGTGCTAACGAGGTATGGCAACTTGAACCGATGCATATATGTGCCTAGTCCTAGGTTGTAGCTGACTGATAACTGTAAGTGGGTGAAATTACGCGTAGCGTTACTGGTATATCTTATTACGACCCAGCTTCTCCTACTGCTTGGTATTCTCGGAAACCACTTCACTCAACAAGTCGCTAAATCAGAACACGGTTGAACAGGAACATAAATATACTCCAAATAAAAATGTTGGAAGTAAGGATCACAATAAAAAATCGTCAAGATATTTATAATTTTTACACAAGATTTTAAAGTTCTCTTCAAGTGTCCACTAGCGCTGATTGCTTAAGAAATAGACATCCAACTTGCCCCAACAAAGTCCTGCACGGGACATGTTTTAATTCAATCTATATCGCGCCAACAGTTACATTCTATGTTCACTACTGCTATTATGTGTTTTTTTTTATTTGCAGTAAAACAAAATATATAAAATGAAAAATATTTCAGTAAATCCGCTTGCAATGCTGAAAGTGCATTTAATCTAATTTATCAATAATACAGGGAGAATGATAGTTTTCAAAAGATAGTTATATGGAATTTCGAAAAACTGTTTGACAATAAAAGGAAGTTAACATTAGACTTTCTTTTCCATAGTAACTCACATAAAAATACCCAGCCTCTTTGTATCAGATGTGTACTTAGATATTTCTATGTGAATCACCATTACTGCTGGTTCATAGTTTTCATTACTTGCTGGCTTCTCTCATATATTGCTCACTGATTTATGACAATATTATGTTCTAGCTCTCTTAAGAAAGTAACTACTGGATTCATTCTTATTTGTCAGCAGTAGTACAGCAGCGAAGTGTTCACCTAAACATTTCAGTTAATATCTTTTTTGAACTAATTTGTAAGTAGTAATAACAAAACTACCTAATGTTTACATCAGATACATCTAAAGTGTTTTCTGTCAATTTGTAGTTACGGTTCTTTTAAACTGTCATATTTCCTACTTTTTGTGTCATCTTAGTTCCAAAATTTCACTTCTAATCGTGTAACACCTGTAACGCCGTGACTTTTTTCCCATTCATTACTAGTTTTTATTTTCTTTATGGTTATCTTTGAATTAACATGCAATTCCTTTCTTTTAGACACATCATTTGCAATGCCAGTTGGAACCATCTGCGTTCAAAGGAGTTAATTGTAGTGTATTCGCCAGTCCAAAACCTATGACAATGGCTTTATCTGTGTTGGTTTTGATTGAGATGTTTAACGCATTGAACAGGTAATTCGTTTTGTTAATTTTTATCTCATCTATGAGTTATTCATAATTAATGCTATAACGAATATCCATTACGTCTACAAGTTTTAAGTCCACTAAATATAGCAAATTGTTTTCTAAGTCATTATGTATCAGTAAACCTCACCGTTTTTACGTGTGATACCCATTCAAGTTCAACTACCCACAGAAATTTAATGACCAGCCATCTTCCATTTCGTTGCGTTTTCGCAGTGACTAATTGATTTATTCTATGATAAGAAAGAGATTAATATATAATTTTTGCGGAAATCTTTCAAATGAGTTATTGATGTCAGCAGATTATTCACTGTCTCGTGTCGATGAGTAGATCAGACCGTCATTTTAAATGATAAGGGTTGGGAATTTTTTTATAAATTTATATGGAATAAGAAGAATAGAATACGAAGTTAGTTGATTTTTATGACGTGTAGTAGTGCAAAGTTAACTATCTCCATTTTAAAAATGTGTAGATGCTAATGGTTGATTAGATTTTAAAGACCTTACGTAAATAGAGTAGTAAGAGGAATAACTTGCATGTTAATCGATATCATAATATTTTGAGAAAAAGTCGTCTTCAAATGAATGCTAGTTCAGGGGTATATTACATTTGTCTTATTTTATGTGAAATTTACATGGGGTCCAGGATCCTGAAAGAACAATGGGTGTATGAATCTATTGTCGGTCACTGGCTATCATGGGACTCCATCTCCTAACGTCGCTTCATTGTCTTATGGATCAGACCCCTAGGTAAAAGGTTCGAGGAGTGGCCCCCTAGAAAAATCACCTGCCTCAGTCTGAGCATCTGGGCAGTATTCCAGCTCTCACACAGTTCGAATGACGAAGTGTTGTGCATATATATTTGGTGCCTCCTTGTGCCAGTGTTTGTGCGTCTCCCATCGTATGCTGTTCTGGTCATCAGAAATCATTGTCTCCTTCTGTAATTTTTTTATTACGTTTCTTTATTTTATTAGCCTTTCTGAGAATCAGTCGCTTCTGGTCATGCCTCCTTGGCATAATATGTGGCTTATCGCTGCGATCTGCTTTAGTATGACACTACACTTCGCAATCTTGTACATAAATGTACTAGCGGTAAGTCTTTCAATTTCACCATTCAGATTTTTAACTTTACTCATATCTATTTGTCTGGGTTCTGATTTTCAGAATTTTGTTCATTAGACGGTCTTATAATTCTGTTAGGTTTGTTTTCTATTCAAACGGCTGTATAGTATTTTGTTTAACCAGCGGTTTCGAATCAACGGACTATTCCTTAACATTCACTCGACTTGCTCATTTTGGTCCACAGAGTGCTCCCAGTAACTCATTAGGTATTAAATGCGGACCTTTAGTTGTGACAAAAATTCTAAATATAGTGCATTTTATAATTTGTTTAATAGCTCATTTAATAATCTTAGGTTTTAAAATTTTAAAATAGTAAAATTTGTGTTACAATGCGAGGCCACCCTTTATGGAGCTTGATGATTTCTATCAGTCCTAACAGATTGCGGCTCAGATGCTATCAACGATGAGTTCTGCCACCAGTTAAGTGGTCTCAAGAAAGCACTTTAACACATACTTAAGTGCTAGCTAGAAGTTTGAACGGGCGGGTCGGGCATCTAGGTACAGATGAGTGTCTTCGTGGGTAATGGGGACTGGTTGGGTGCAGGTCAGATAACAATGACCGTTTCCTGCAGCTTTATGGAGACCATAACTTGTTTCTGACCAACAGCGACTTTCGACATCGTCGTTACCAATGTGATATCTAGCATCCTCCTTCTGCAATTTAAGTGTGGACTCAGATTGCATAGCGATAAGTTGCCCCTAGGATAGTTGTACACAAGGCTACCGGTTCTTTTTCTAATTTAACTTGGACTCTGATCATGCCGTCGTTTTCGCCAATCATATCGTACATTTCAGTGGCCAGAAAATTCATCGTTTTGAAGAAATTGATATAAGCAAATTGTCTGCAGCTTCTGTTGCATCCAAATATCAATTCAAGCTAGGTTTGAAGTTAGCTATCGATTAACTGAAAGGCATAAATGTACACCATTTGTGTTTGCACAACACCGGGAATATGGCGAGTGAAGCCTCTTAGGGATTCGCGAAACGTACCACTTGTAATCACTGGGTTTCTACAGGCTGCCCAAACCACATCCGTCTACTCCGGATAACCACGAGTTTGGCGGTGTACATAGATCCCTACGCAATGAAACTGTGCAACGTTTGCGTAAAGGCAGAGAGGCTTAGCGGCTGAAGTGTGCTTCATCTGGTAACTGCTGGAAGCTCTTTCAGCTCGTCCAAACCATTAACAGTAACAAGTCTGGTGTGGATGAAATGATCTGTGAACGTGATGAGATGCCAATAAATACCATCTACAAACCAGAGTTCTTCAAGGAAGAATTTGGCTGTTCTGCCCTGGTGTATCGACCGAACCTTGTCTTCCATGGCCGGGGATGACTGATCCACCTAATAAAGCAAAAGTCTGAAATGAAAGTCAACTTTTGCAGATTCACAACTCAACAGCTCCTAACGACTTACCTTCAGTTCTTAAAGTGGATAGCGAACTCCTAATCAGGGAACTGACGGGGTTGTTTGGAAAGGTTTGAAAAATATGGTGTTTCAACACCTTGGAATGAACCGATCGTCATTCTCACCTTTAAAACAGGCTTTCGTTATCGACTGCGTCCAAATAACATTGTACCGAGAACTGGATGCAGACATGAAGATGAATAGAAACTGAAAAGGATTTCCCAGGACAGTCTGATGGAGAATGCTGATGGGCAGCCTATGTTCTTCCACGAGGTAAATCGGCGTAAGTATGTAAGTATATCAGGAACATCTAGAGAGTAGGTCAGCCGATCATGGTAGTGTTATGCACTTCGACATAGCTTGGCATAATATCGGAAAAGCTGCAGGAATAGCAGTTTAAACCAAAAGGTTAAGGGGAAACCAGTGGATTTCAGTGGGATCAACTAAAGTAATAGGTTTTCGGAAACTCATGTTGTCAGGCGCCTAACACATTGAGGAGCGGAGGAAGCCTTAATGTTGACTGATCAAATGCCAAAGCAGTGGTGACCAAGGAAAGTAAAAGAGATTGCAAAAAGCAGCAGCGATTGGTAACAGTTCAGACTTGTGAAGGAAACAAGTATTAAAAATTCGCCTGTTAGTGAGACTGTCTAGGAAAAAGAGTGAGGCACTATTCACCCTCAATACATGGGATTAGACCGATTGGCAGAAAATTTTAAGGAGCAGCTCAACCGGACTTCAGCTACTTCTGTTTGTATGCAACCTGAATGGCAAACTGATGTAAGTCCTCCACCTTTTAAAAAAGTTGAAAAAAGGCTAGAAATAATCCAAAGCAAAAGAGAATAACGGGCACCGATGGTCTAACCTTTGAAGTATTTAGGAATGGTGGTTCACTCCTAGGACTTATATTAACTGAAATCATATCCAGAAGCAGGGGCCTCGATGTAATCCCATCTGACTGGTCTCGATAACCCATCGTCTCAGGACGAAAATCCTCTAACTGATGAACTTCAAATAGTGTATTTCATCAGTAGTTAGCTGTAAGAATTTTCTAGTTAAATAATTAATTCAGAAGCGTTTAACTGGTGGATTCTGAATCATAAAATTATGTACACATGACTGTCATTTTCCTAAAAACTATTTCAATATCCTATATTAGTGGTCAATAGACTATTCTGTGTCATTCAACTGCCAAGCTACTCTTCTTTTTTTCTTTTATATTGTATCTAAATATATAGAAAGTACAACATCTATTTGTTACATGTAATAAAATGAAGTTAACATAAATGAGGTTCTGTTTAAATTTACATTTAACGGGTACTCCATGTTGTTTATCAGCTGCTTAGGTTCCATAGATTAAATGGTACATTCGCGTTATAATAAATCGTATTGCAGTCCGTATAAGTAAAACTTAAATCGACATTGTTAGCCAAAGTGAAGGGTAACAAGTTAATAGAGTTGTAAAGACCACTTAAAACCAATCTCATTAAATCATACATACAGTATTATAATTGATCAATCAATTTCATTTAATCAGTTATATTCACGATATTTTCTAATTGGATTGTATTATATTTCAGAATATATTCCAAATAGCTGCACTGAATATCGCAGAGTGGTTTGCTGTATTGAAAATATCCATACCTGTGCTTTTATTGGATGAAACACAAAAGGCTATTGTTCGTTCTTCTCAAAGAGGTCACAGTCCACTTTACCACATGGCGATACCGATGGTGATGTGGTGTGTATATTCTACTTTTCTTGCCTTCAACCCTTTGTGATTATCAAGTTGTTTGTTTGTTTGTTTTTGGATCGAGTCGAACTGTAAACATTCATGTGATCTCCACCTCGATTATTCTCTCGATGTTTCATTTGTCGTTAGGATATTAATCCGTACAGACCATGCTTCTAAATAATTCCTATTTCATATCCATTTACTGTTTTTCTTCAGACTGATAGAATATAATATTTCAGGGGTTGTCCTATTTTTACTGGTTGTATCAATGCTCATTATCTTTGAATTGTCGTTTATTTATTCATGTCATATTCATGTATAAAAGCATCCTTTTATGTTTACCGTTTTACATTATCTTAGTTATCTGTTCTATGTTGATGATATGCATTAAGTAGTTGGGCTACTACATTCGTTTTGCTTAAAGTGTTGAAAAATTTATATAAAAAATAGTTTATCGTAAACTGTATATAATATATCTAATTCTTAACAAATTAAAACCTTCAGAAAATAGGGGATTCTTTAAAACTTCATTAATCGTTGTCTTAACCTTTGTTCTGACGCCGAGTTGGTTGTTTTTCGTGTGTCAAATTTCCACAGATTTTGAGATTTATGTCAGAATGTTTCTTAGAAATTTAGAGATACCTTTTGGCATCGACAATGCTTTCAAATATGCAAGAAAGTCAGTCATCTTTATCCTGCTGAGTGGATAGCATTTTGCCTAATGTTTTGTTATATTGACTAAGATATTGCGATTTTATTAAATGAACTTCAGTGTTTTTTGTCGCGTTTGTATGAAAGTTACAAGGAGTCATCGATAACACTCCCAGTACTTTTGAGATATACTCATTCATTTGGCGTTCCCACCAACCATCTGATCTATCATTGGAAACAATTAGTCCTTAGGCGAAAATGCAGATATTGTTATGATCATTAAAGTGTCTTCACAAGTACACAGCACTGAAAAAGATATAATAACGTGAAAATGTCTGATTTTCTATATTCATAAAATATTTGAAACTTAAATCAAAGTAAAGACTATGTGTGGGTGCAAGTCGACTTCTATCTAATACTAAGTAGACCGAATGATGATTATGTGGAACTGGTTTAAATTACGGCGGTCAATGTTCCTTCCCTTTAAAGTGTTTTCAACACTTCATGCTTGTACCGATTAATTCTTGAGTTCATGGTACTGTGCAATGTAAAACAGGATTTATTATATTGACCTTCAGAACAGATCTTTGATTTATAATTGTTTTTTGTAATATCTATCGGCCATAGCCTAGTTTAATGTGAACAGTATTGTTTGCTAAAGATTTGCATGTTTCAATTAACACGGTCAGTACAATAGTATTCAATAATGAATTCATTTTGTTAACAGAAAGATCCATAATTCTGCTGATTAAGTGTTTTTATCATCTAATACTTTTTTGGCACATGATATCACAATGATTTGTTATGTTGTAAAATGAACATAATATGACCTATTTCATTCAGGAAAAAACAAGCTTACATTCCTTAATTTCTCAACTATGTTTGGTTATTTAAACGCCATTTTGTTTTGGTTACTTGTTTTAACTAATTAATGGTTGTTTATTAACTACAAAAACCCAGTGGCAGTACGATGAATTCATTCACATCAGTTTTAGTAGTAGTTGCCTGCCAAAGTTTTAACTTGCAACCATTGTTAGCTAGTAGTTGAAAGGTTAAGTCTCATTTTTCTTTTCATTTGGTCTCAGACTAAACACAATCATATTTGCTAACAACTCAAATGTAATGACTTACTAGCACAGACTAAGCACGTATGCTTCTTACGGCTAGCTGGAGTTAGTCGTGTGATGCTCATTTAAACGAAATTCAACAATAATGAATAGTGGTCCATTATCAAAATAGGCTCCCGAATGCCATGGTACGCTCTCCCTCTCGAAATGCTCTCACATGGCCATGTGTATATAGCCTCTGCCAGGGAAGTCCTTGTGGCGTGGGTGTTGTTTACGAAATCGAAAGGACGGAAAGCTAATTTCCGGCGCTTTAACAGGGATGTTAGACACGGAAAGTCCACCTAAGGAAGTTAAAAAAAAACCTGGTTCCAAACCAATGTTGCACATGGGTTCCAGTATCCTGAGGGGACAAATGGCGTATGGATCAATCGTTGGTCACCGGCTACCATTGGACTGCATCTCCTCACGATGCTCACTGGCTTGTAGGTCAGAAGCTCCGGGTGTGGTCCCCTAAGGAAATCACCTGCTTCGTTCTGGGCACCCGGGCAGTATCACAGCCCTCGCACAAATAAATGAGGTGACGCTTTCTACTGACAACACTATTCTCGCTCCTACTAGAAGTCAGACAACTTACATTATTATTTACCACGTCACTTATTCATTCCCTTTTATTCTTAATTTATGTATCCTCACTTTTCAGCAGCTCGCCTATGGTGAAATGAACTCCATCACTTCAACACTATTGAAAAAGACAAAAAGTATTATAAATAATTAAATAAGAACACAACTTAATACTGCTGTAAGATATGGTAGAAAAAAGCGTCTATGCAGTAATGGTTAGAAGCGATGCAATGTAAGTCCTAATTAGGTGCAAAGGATAATCTAATATTATGATATATACATACGTACATAGTGAAGATAAAACGAGTCGGAGTAGTCAATTTGAGTATAACACAAAATATTGTCCTAATTACAAATTTTGGATACTTAAGGATAGTAATAGTTATTTAAAAGAAAAAGAGAGGAAAAAATTTTAGAATATGAACATCTAGTGAAACGGTTCAAGCCCAAGAATATCTACCTCTGAAGAAAACCATTAGTTTAAAAAGAATAATTATTTTTTCTCTATTCCAATTGGGTAAATACATGTTAATTTATGTAATAGGATAACGAGTAAAACTTGATATTAGCATAAACTATTGTGCAATAATAATTTAGAATCATGCTATGCATGTCATAATTAATTGCAAAGGATAAACAAATATAAATATGAATCTGAGAAGTTAGTTTACTCAATAGTAATATAAGATAATTTGTTTTTAGTTATAGATGTTGGACAAAAAGTGTTTCATGTGTCGAGAGACTAATCATTATTATTATAATAAATATGAGCATGAGCGAACTTAAGATATTTGGATGAATGGAAAGAAAACAAAATAAACGAGAAAAGTTTCAAAGGCTCTACTTTGCTTTTCAGTCAATTCGATAGATGAAGGATCTTGTTTGTATAGATCATTGTTAAACACATTGATATTCAATAGGTGACATTTCACTTCTGGAAGGATAATCATCACGGAGATTCCTGAACCGGGTCATAGTTTCCCTGGTAATCTGTCCCAGATAGCTGAGTAGCAAATAACAAAGAATTCTGGCGTAAGTTTGTGCAGGTTCTCGGAATCGCTAGAATATTTTTCTTATTGGGCAGATTGTGGTATGATAGTACTCGGGTACTATATGTTTGCTGCGTTGCAATCCGCACTAATTTTCCACTTTAAAACACCAACATCACTACTGTCATTACTACTACCACGGTAACAATTAGACCGTATCTGGTATTAGCCATAATATTATTATTATGAACTTTATTCAATATTATATTCTGGTACAATATAGGATTCTCAGCACGAGTTATCAGCTCGTTTCTTTACAAACTCAGTAAGATTGACGAACAAAGGCCGTTTAGTCCTATTGTCAGATTCCTCAGCAGTGCTCACCCATAGTAGGACGAAACGGCCGTTCAGTGTTATCAGATTTTCCATGATGGTCTAGCTTCAATTGACTCATGAATTCAACTATATAATGCAAATATTGTTTTATAATAAACAAAATTGTCATTGTGGAATAAGCAAAGCATAGTTGTACAAGGTCAAAGAAAACTAGAATGGTGGTGGACGTTTTATGTTACCATTGGTGGGTTCGTTTATCGATCACACTTTACATTATGGAATACAATGGACAGCATGGACTGGACTTGACGATTTGAACTTTGTAGATGACCTAGCCCTTCTATCTTTTACACATGACAAATGCAGGTAAAGGACACCAGTGTAGCAGGACCCTCTGCATCAATATGTCTCAACGGAAACAGCAATCTCTTCAAATACAACTTGGAGAACACTAACCTGATAAGTCATCTAAATAAACACGCTCTTTTAATAGTCTAAGGCTAAATTTACCTGAAAACTTGAAGGAGAGAAAAAAGGCGCAAAATGTGGAAAGAACACTTTACTCCAAGGTTAACTTTTTACAGAAAATAGAGAGTAGTATTAGAACCTCAGTCGGCCCTCGTGTTCTGGAATCATACAAATTTTGGTGGCAGGTTGGGTAATTATCTAACAAGAAATTTGACACGTTACTCTTCACTTCCTAGTTGTTTCTTAGAAGCATATTTTCAACGCTGATTGGGGGAAAAAATTTTCAGCGTCTTCAGAGCTCTACAGGACTTTTTAGAGGACTACTTTAGACCTCTTCAACACTTTTCTTCTTTCACAAGATGAAGCTTTTTGGGTATTTTTGCCATCTCACAACTAAACCACATTTGACAGAGAAGCTTTGAAAGAGTTGGAACGTTTTGCGTACCTGGACAGCATCATTGATCGATAACGGGAATCTGATGCAGGTGTGAATACATTGATTAAGAAAGAAAGCACAGCATCCTTTAACCTAAAGAATACCTGGAACTCAAAACAACTGTCAGTCAACACCAGTTGGGATTTTCAGTACTAACTCCAAGACGTTTCTTTTGTACGGAGCTGAAATGTAGAGAACTACTACAGCCATCATTAAAAAGGTTGTCTACAAATGGATACTCAATGTCCGTTGGCCTGATACCATCAGCAACAACATACCGTGGGAGAGAAGAAACGAACTTCTAGACCAAGAGGAAATTGGGGAAAGACGCTGAAAATGAATAAGACATGCATTTCGAAAAATACCAAACTGCATCACGAGGCAAGTTCTAGCCTGGAATCCTGAAGGGAAGAGGAAAAAAAGAAGACCAAAGAACACACGGCACCGAGAATTGGAAGCAGACACGAACAGGATGAAT